ATAGCAGGTAGTGGAGGGCCCTAAAATGGCACTGTAAGGACCCAACTTTCTGTCCTTGTCCCTAGAAATGGTAGAATTAAGGCCTACTATCAGTGGGGAGGAGATATACCAAAGAAGAAAATATAGCTAAAAAGTGTTCTTTTTGTATTAGATTGTTTGAAGTAAAATTTTGCCTACCCATATGCCCTATTCAAAATCTAAAATATAGTTTATTTTATGGTTCAAGTTCACTTTTAAATTAACTTATTAATTTATTAATAGAGCATTCAGGATGAGCAAGGCACTGTAGAAACGAGAAAAGTTCAACCTTGGGTTTTGCGATTGCATTGAGGACAGTAATTATCTCCCAGTTCAGAATGAATTGGCTCTTTTCTTTTTCTTTTTTCTTCTTAAATATATTTTATTGATTTTTTTCAGAGAAGAAGGGAGAGGGATAGAGTTAGAAACATCAATGAGAGAGAATCATTGATCAACTGCCTCCTGCACACCCCCTACTAGGAATGTGCCTACAACCAAGGTATATGCCCTTGACCGAAATCAAACCTGGGACCCTTCAGTCCACAGGCTGACGCTCTATCCACTGAGCCAAACCGGTTAGGGCTGAATTGGCTCTTTTATGTGTCTGTGTTAATTAACTGGCAACATTTTCTGATTACTTGAAGTGCTTTGATACAGTGACACTGGAGCCATACAGAAAGGTGTGCCACCTGACCTCTGAGAGCTTCAAGTCTTGATGTAGAAGTAAACAGGACAAGACCATTATCTCACTGCTTCTAACTTCCTTCTTCTGAAACCTCCAACAAGTTGACTGACGGAGAAAGCTTTCCAGGAGGATCAGTGAGATAGTGACTACAGACCCCTCCTTCCTCGTCACTGACTGGAAGTAGCCACTCTACCACCCTCCCCACTCCCTACCCTCCACCCCCCACCCAAGATCAGTCTTTAGACCATGGGGACATCGAATGTAACTCTTCACCTGGGAAAAGGGTGGTGCCTCATTTTTCTTACCTATATAACAGAGAGCCAGGAAGTCTCAATTGCTTAGAAACTCAAAAGTAGAAACATCAGTTTAAGAATTTACTTCCCAAAATGAAGTAACTATTATGTATTGATATTTTATATTTGTTTTTAAGGAGTGAAGTAATTATTATGTATTATATAATACATACATATCATGTTCATATATATATATATTTATATATATATATATATATACATATATGTATATGGGAATTGATGCTCAAAAATTATTATTGTTAAAAAGCAATAGTCCCATTAGATGACAATAATCTGCAAAACAACATTTATTTTTATTTTCTTCTTTAATAAGTTTTTTACTTTTATTAATGTGATATTAAAATTATTCATTAGGATTATTATAATTAACGATGTTACTAGTAAATCCTAAGCAAGAGACAAATTAATGTTAAAGAATTTTAGAATTAGAGGAGAATTTCATTCACAAAGGAAATATGGCATTGGATTTCATTTTCTTCAAGGTTGAATTTTCCCCCTATCATTGAGAAGTATAACTCTACAATGCTCAATGATATTTTTGAGTTTATTTGCATAACATGCAATGTACGTAAATATAAACTCTTTTATTCTACAGGTTTGTTCTACTTTTAAATTTTTAAAAGAAATTCATCACTGATTTATTGTAATATTAGAAACTATTAGAAAATGTTATTCTTCTTAAAAGAACTATAAAATTAAGAAATTATTTCTTCCAGGAAGACATTATAAAATATAATATTTATAAGCTTCAGCACCACAGATAAAGCAGCTAAGTATAAATGACTATCCTTTACTTCTACCACAGATAGATCTTGCTTTAAACAAATCTTATGAGAATATGATGTATGAAAATTCTGATATACCTGAAAGAGAAGCTAGAGGTGGTTATTTGCTTTATAGAATTATTCATAATAGTTCATCTATAAAAACTAATTCCCCTGGTGCTTTTAAAGTATAAATAATTTATACACAACTTTTCTGGAACATCCTATGGTATTATGCACAGCTATATCTTCATTTTAATATACAGTATATCTCCTTTGGTATAAAAATGGATGTAAGAATGTGTTCAAACCTGAGTTGGGAGCATACATTTTCCAGAGTGGAGAATGTTAATGAAACATTGTTAAAATTTTTTCCATATGCTCTTAAAGGCAGGAATTCAGATGCAGCTGTGGCTAACAAAGTCTCAGCAATCCTTCACCCCATGAAGGACCCTGAGCTACCTTGATCCTTATTTGCTGAGCCTACTCTTAAATATACTTGTGGCTTTATGAGCCTCAAATTCACTTGAGCTTTGTCCATTTCTCTGGCTTTCCCAATTTTATTCCAGTGGGCAACACTGGGTGTTGGTGAATCTTGTACCCTCTAGGCCCCCATCTGTAGAAGGCAGCTCTAGGATGCTCTTAACAACCATTCTTAAGACTCATCAATTCCAGAGAGAAGTGCTGAAATGAGCAGACAGACGGGCCACCTTCTAGAACTTTGGCCTCACCCCTGATGCACAAATATCAGATATGAACAGGTGAAATTTGCCTTGAACTCTCAGTAGCTATTCACTTTTGGAAGTGAAGATCATATTGCTAAATTTAAACATCTTAGTGAAAAAATGCCTCCTTCTTATCTCTCATGATCCGATGTTTACTAAATGGAACATAACCACTTAATTATGAATTGTTATATTCTGTAGACATTGTTTGCTTTTAAATGATGAGACTTAATTGATTAACATTCATAAGTAACATCAGTATAGTGAAACATTAATCAATACAAAGGCAACTCTTAAAAATAAGCCAAATGGCCGAAACCGGTTTGGCTCAGTGGATAGAGCGTCGGCTTGGGGACTGAAGGGTCCCGGGTTCAATTCTGGTCAAGGGCATGTACCTTGGTTGCGGGCATATCCCCGGTGGGGGGTGTGCAGGAGGCAGCTGATCCATGACTCTCTCTCATCGATGTTTCTAGCTTTCTATCGCTCTCCCTTCCTCTCTGCACAAAATCAATAAAATATTAGGTCTAGTAATAATTAATGTCGTTTTCTAATACTTTTTTTAAATCGAATTTATTTAAACAATACAACAAAATTTAATCAACAATATAGTTGCCGTTGTTTTCTACTACTTGTGCCCAACACTCAGGAAGCATTTTAATCCCTCTGTTGTAAAATTCTTGTGATTTTGATGCAAAAAATTCGGTCAATGCATTTTTGAGGCATTCTTCATTATTAAATTTTTTTCCAAGAAGAAAGTTTTGCAAAGAAAGAAACAAATGGTACTCGGAAGGGGCAATATCAAGAGAATATGCAGGTTGAGGGAGAACTTCCCATTCCAACTGGTGCAGTTTTTCAGCAGTGATTCTTGCAGCATGCGGTCGTGCGTTATCGTGGTGAAGAATTACGCCCTTCCGATTAATCAGAGCGGGTTCTTTTTCTCTTAAAGCTTGGGCTAACCTTTCCAATTGGGCACTATACACTGCACTTGTAATGGTTTGGTTAGATGGTAAAAGTTCATAATGAAGAATTCCTTTAAAGTTCCACCAAACACACAACATCACTTTTTTCGCATGCAAGTCAGGTTTTGGCGTGGGCTGTGGAGCCTCATTTTTGTCCAACCATTGAGGCTGCCTTTTCAAATTAACATACAGCACCCATTCTTCATCTCCGGTAACAATTTGCTCTAAAAACGGCAAACGGTTTTGACGAGAGAGGAGCGAACTGCAAATTGTGACTCTTTGATTACTGTTGTTGTCGGTCAACTCATGAGGAACCCATTTTCCAAACTTTTGGACTTTGCCAAGTGCACGCAATTGATTGGAAATTGTTTTTTGTGAACAATTTAAAGTTGTCGCAAGCTCTTGTTGGGTAATTTGAGGATTTTGCACCAAAAGAGCTTGAAGAGCTTCTTGATCAAAATTGGACACACGGCCTCGACCACTCTTGTCATCTAACGAAAAATTTCCCTCGCGAAATTTCTCTAACCAACGCTGGCATTTTATGGCGCTAACTGCATCTTGACCAAGAGCCCTACAGATGTTTTTTGCAGCCTCACTTGCTTTTCTTCCTAATTGGAACTCGTAAAGCATGCAGTGCCGAATATGCTCTTCATCCGCCATCTTCTTAGCCCTAGTTTTGCAACAAAAACCAAACCAAACACAAACTTTTTCAAGCAAAACTTGTTAATTGCACTTCACACGTTCTGTAGATACCACGTGTTTGAAGGTTATGTCAATACAAGTCAACGCCAAGCAAGATTTTAAACGAATGTTTAAAAACGACATTAATTATTACTAGACCCGATATATATATATTTTTAAATAAGCCAAATGCATTTTACATGAGTAATTTTTCATCTGAGGCTACCTAGTAAAGAAATTGGTTCAGGATCAGTCAAATGAGACTGGGAGCAATGGAACTCTGATCCAATTGTCTCATATTCTGGATTATATCCTCGCCAGCCTTCTCCAGTCAGCCTTTCCTGGAAAGAGGGATTCTATTTTTTGGTAATGAGTTTGAAATTGTACGTTAGGTAAATGGAAAGATCTATAATTTAATCCTTCACCTACTTATTTATCATTCATATTTATCCAGCTATTGAATCTTGTGATATGTCTACTGTTAAGAACTTCAGACTTTTGGTAAATTCTGTGAAGTCTAATTTAGAAAAGAACCGAATTAATCATTCACTCACTTATTCTCTATCCTACTTAGAAAATAAGCCTATTTTCATCCTTACAGCCATTTTAAAGGCTGGAGAGGAAAAAAAGAAAAATAAGCCTCAGAGGACAATCAGAAGGGCACCTAAAAGCGTAGATATTTAAAGTTCAAAGGGAGCTTAGAGAGCATTGTAGCCCCTGCCACACCCTACCCACCCTATTACAAATGGTGACACTTGGGCTAAGAAAGGTTGAACCATAATCTTGTCCAAGTCTCAAATTTCACTAACCATAAAATTACAATAAACTCTACACTATCAACTTTTTTTTTTTAATATATTCTCAAAACACTGAGGAGGCTTAATCAATATGAGGAACTATTATGAGCAAGCACAAATCTTCAGCACTTTTGCTTAAGGCTGTTACACAGCAAAGCAAGCCAGAAACTACAGCTAAGCATCTTCTGTGTTGGGGATCATCATCACCACAATGAGCTGTGCCGAAGATGTTTGACTAAAGGAAGAACAGTGAGGGTTAGTTTGTTATCAGGGTCTCAGCAACAGGATAGCGGGCTTCTTTTCTAGGGTAATGCATGAGCATTCTAAGCATCTTCTGTGTATCTCTTATTGTTCAAATGTGTCTCCATTAAGGGTGCATATCCTTTGCGAAGTCTTCTATACTGAAGGAAAGCCAGCGAGGCAAAAAGACCGACCAAAAACACCAGCATGCCCATAACCACTGGGAGAGTCGCGGACCCACTTGGAATTTCTTCATCTGAAATCAAAGCAGAAGAAAAAAGTCTGTGATTGGGATTTTCGTCAGCTGAACACTCTTCACAAAGGAAAAAAATAAACAAATTTGCCTTTTATATGCATTTTTGTTGATAAAGCAAAACACTGGCTAGAATAAAATGTATCTTCTCCTTCCGCACCAACTATTTATCATGTCCACAATTGTTTTCTTTCTTAAGGAAGCAGGAAATGTCATTCCCTTATTTAAATACTGTTTGCTGAATCTTTAAACATTTCTTACAATAAATACTTATACAAAATAAACCCTCCAAGGAAGTATATATAACTACTTCCGTGAGTTAGAAACTCATTTGTAAAAGCACGTGCTAAAATGGTAACTGGTGAAATGCAAAATATGCAACCCTCAGGTGAAGAATTTTTGCCATTGTCTCTACCTTCTTTATGCTATGAACAAGTTGTATAAACATCTGTTTGATTACTTGCTTTCAATTCATTGGGATATATATCCAGAACCTGATTTGCTGGCTCATATGATAATTCTATGTTTAATGTTTTTTAGGAACTTCCATATTGTTTTTCCACAGAGGCTATGCCATTTTACATTTTGACCATCAGTGCACAAGGCTTCAAATTTCTCCACATCTTCATCAACCCTTGTTATTTTCTGCTGTTTCTTTTTGTTAATAGCCATTCTAATGGGTAGAAAATGATACCTAATTGTGGTTTCTGCCTAGTTTTTAAATTCCTACATAATCAGGTACTTCTCACAGATCCAACTTTGTTTTTTTAACTATTCAATGCTCATTTTTTTTAAATTGAATTTATTGGGGTAACATTGGTTAATAAAATTATATAGGTTGCAGGTGTACATCACATATCCAACTTGAATTCACAATAATCTTCTACCGAAGCCTTATACTATGAGAGGATTTCTTCTCACAGTCCTCTATGTGGACTACCTGTGCCTTTCACAGTCCTGTGCCCTCCCCTTCTTCAATATAAAATATTGTCTTCTTTCCTCCTCGGCTACCTAAGATCTATCATCTCTTCGAATCTAGCTTAAAAGCTATCTCTTTTCGCAAATCCCTCACTCCATTCTCTGACTTCTGATTATAGTTATGTTACCGCAGATGCAACTGTAAACTTATTTATCAGACCAGAAAATGAGCATGAGTTTGTGTCTTCTAGTGAGTTAATGCTTTGGGGGCATATTTAGAGCCTCTGTCTATACCTCTTAACTGGCTGATTTCAGAGCAGAAAACATGGTCAAAGAGCACATTGCAAAATTTTTGGTTATTTTATGTCCCAGTTAAAAGGAAAAGAAGTTTCAAAGAGATACCCTCAGTTGTCCACAGAAATAAAATTTCAAATCAGTAAGGAGAAGGGGTAGCAGTAGATGCAAATTAGAAGGAAAAGCAGGGGACATATTCTGGAGCCTGAAAGACTCTGAAGTCAAAGACAAAAGTGAGCTCAAAACGGTCCTGATTACTTTGTAGGTGGAGACTTAGTGAAGATGAAAAAAGAGACTTAGTGAAGATGGGAAAAGCTACTGGCAGAGGGGATGTGTTTTTGACTTCTTGACAAACTAAGATATTTGTTGTTATTATTTTAGCTTTCTTTCTCAACCTGTTCTAAGATTGTTTTTAATGAGGTCTAATTGACATATAGCACATTATTAGTTTTAGGTGAACAACATAATGATTCAATATTTGTATGTATTGCAAACTAAGATCCTTTAAATGGCACACAGAGCTATACTGGGGCCTAGGTAAAAAGAAAAAAAGAAAGAAAGAAAGAAAAGGTGTTCCTATATGAACTTATCAAAATATCCTTCTATATTTTGAACCAAGTAGAAAAAGAAATAAAAAAAATCAACAACCTAAAAACATGTTTAAAAAAACACATTAATTTATAAAATATACACATGAAGTCCCATGTCGCCCAATCTGTTAGCAGACGATGGTCAGCTTCACAAACCCCACCCAGCAGGGGTGGTATGGATAACTGGAAAAAATGGTCCAATTACAAAATACTGCAGGAATATAAAACAAACAACAGCCTGTCTTTATTTAAAATTCTGATAGTGAACTCATCAAAACATTTTTTGCATTCATTGTTTTAAAATATTGCATGATATTATTACCTATTTAGATTACTAACATATTTGGCCTCCCCTGAAACTTTGTGACCCAAACTAGTGCTGCTCTCGCCTCACTCTAAACCCAGCCTTGCTTTCCAGTAACAATCTCTTGGGAGTTTCTCTTCACATGAGGCTAGTGAATTTTTACTTTACTAATTAAACAGTTCAGACCATGGCCAGCTTTCGATTAACTCAAACAAAATTGTAAAATCAAGGTTTGTTCACATCTTTCAGTTTTCTAAAATATCCCTTTTCTGATGTTTAATTAGTAATTCAAAAGCTACTTTTACTAAATATCTGTATCCTAGAAAATTGCCAATAAAGTTAATTTGCTTCAATTTAAGGAATTGGTTTACATTTTTTCATTAAAAAAAAACACAAACAAAACAAAAACAAAAACAAAACAAAACAATAAAAACAAAAGCTCCTTTAAAAGATGAATCACCCATTTAGAAGTTGTATTAGTTACCTGGCAGATCAATGGCATAGCTATAGCCAAGTTGGTCTGCGGTTAAAAAGCATTCCTGATTAGTCACCGTAGGGAAGAAAGGAACCATGTTGTACATCCGATTGTGACCAATGGGTGCCAGCTCCTGAGGCCAAGCATCTGCGGAAGGATTGAATCTTCTCATCCACTCATCAAAAATGGCATCAGTAAAGGCATGGAGAACCTGCAAGACATTGAACATGACCTTGAACATTTATCAGACTATTTCAGTTAGATCAACCGAGTTGGAGCTTTCTCTACTATGGAATGTGGGTCTTCTTGACATGAGCAACTCTGTATACCCAACCTAATATCAGTCACATGCCTACTGGCATTTTCAGTTAAGTTTTCAAGGATGTATGACGTATCTCTCCAAACAGGATTACAAACCCTTTTGTCAAGTGAACAGATGAAGGTTCTGTTACAGATTTAACACTGGTTTGGGAACATTTGAGGCCTTCAACAAGTGTAGGTTAATTATTAGTTCAGAAAAAGGGCAAAGATGATGAGATACATAGCCTAGTCCAGTGGTTGGCAAACTGCAGCTCTTTGGCGCCTTGAATGTGGTTCTTCCACATAATACCACGTGCGGGCACGCACTTACAGTGGAATTGAAACTTTGTGGCCCATGAACAGAAGTCAGTTTTCAGCTCTCAAAAGAAATTTCAATCTTTGTACTGTTGATATTTGGCTCTGTTGGATAATGAGTTTGCCGACCACTGGCCTAGTCAAATTTCAGATGCTTTTGCTTTAACAGGAGAGATAGAAGAGGTTGCATTTACCAGTATTATAATACAAATGGACAGTTAAAAAGATATCTGAAATGGGTCTTCACATTTTTCTCACCAGGAGTACCCTTCTGTGTACTCACTTGAGAGCCCTCTCATTGGAATTTTGAGTATTATGCCAGCAAAAGAAAGTCTAAAGATGTTGTAATGTGCAGAGTGCTTATTTTAATTTCCTCAAGGAAGCTGTTAAAGTTTTTAAATACAGAAAATATCCATGTTTTAAAATAGTCACAGCAAAATTTCCACATGTATAGCCCTGATTTCACAACAGAATATAAATGTAAGTTCAGCTTAGGCTTTATGGCTGGTCATTAGAGTTCTTCTTTCATTTCTAGACTGTAAATTCGAGGAGCTCAGAGACACTGTCTGCTTTTCTCTCCATTGTGTCCCCAGGGCCTGTCACCCCAGGGCCTGTCACATGGGAGAGGAAGATACTTATTTCAATAAATACTTAATAAATTTATTCATCCATTCACCATTGTTACTTCTATCCCAAATATAGCACTGCTCAAATTATACTATAATGTTATTTATTTACCTATTTCCCTAAGAAGACCCTAACTCCTAAATGTCAGAGATAAGGTCTCTTTGCCTTTGAAGCTTCAAGCTTAGCATGCAACCTGAACAAAGCTGATGCTGAAGAAGTATTTGTTGGCTGACAGTGTCATGCAAAGTGGTTATATTTTCTGTAAAATCAACCCAAACAGTCACCTTTCTGGGTTGTCTACAAAGTCATTCCTTCTATTTTCTGGCATCAGAGTCTCTTAGGCACGAAGGAACTCAATGGTCCCTGTCCAGGCACATCTTCCCTGCTTGCCCACAGTCAGAATTCTTTGCTCTTTGCACTTCTCAAACCACTTTTAATGCATTGCCCTTCTGGTTTGTATTACTATTATCTATTCAGTAGATTTTCATATCTTACCCGAGGTTCCTTGCAGTTTAGTTGCCCCTGGGTCAGGTAACAATTGAGGCTTTCTACATTGTCTCAAGAAGTTGCATTCGAGATAGTAACAGAAGTCAAGTTATTTACTGAAGGGAATTTGTTATAGTAAGTAAATTTTTAAAGTTTATGGCAGAGACAATCATCTTAAAAACCAAAATATCAAATGTATAAGGCCTGGGATTTTAGAGAGATAAAGGATTTTTTAATTCTAAAGTCTTGGCTTTGAGTAACAAAATTTAAATCCCAAAAGAATAGAGGCATCCCTTGCTGGTCTGGCTCAATAGATAGAGTGTCAGCCTGTGGACTGAAGGGCCCTCTGTTGGACTCCAGTCAAGGGCACGTGCCTGCGTTGCAAGCTCGAGTCCCAGTACGGGGTGTGCAAGAGGCAGCCAATCAATGATTCTCATCATTGATATTTCTATCTTTCTCTCCCTCTCCCTTCCTTTCTGAAATCAATAATAAAAAAAAAAAAGAATAAAGAATAAAGGCATAGTTTATTGCGAAAAGCAACAACTTTGGAAGAATACTCGATAATGCAAATGATCAATGTTTCTCACAAGTAGCTTTCATAAAGAATCATCTTTGAGAAGGGTCATCATCCCTGGGAAAGGAGCTAAGCATTTGTCATTGGTGTATATCCTTGAGAAAGGTATGCATGCCCTATGTCATGGGAAGTCCAGAGAAGGTTAGTCATTTCCCAGAGAGGGAGGATGTGGCCTGGGGAGACTGGCAGCCTCAAATGCAAGTTTTGCCTCAAGTGTGGAGCCCAAGCACTACAGTGGGACTGTCTAAGGATGGTAGTCACTGTTGGTTGCTTACTCAATGTCCCTTCCCCTCTTTCTCCTTAGTGAACTTTCTTTGCATTTTGAGTGAAGGACTATGTCAAACTATCCATGAGATTTTACTAGAAGTCATTAGGTGGGACTTCTAGGGAAGCTCTTAAGGGTAATTGTTGCCCTAACCGGTTTGGTTCAGTGGATAGAGTGTCGGCATGCGGATTCAAGGGTCCTAAGTCCAATTCCAGTCAACAGCATGTACCTTGGTTGTGAGCACATTTCCAGTAGAAGGTATGTGAGAGGCAGCTGATCAATGTTTCTAACTATCCCTTTCCCTTCCTCTCTGTGAAAAATCAATAAAATATATATTTAAAAAAAATAAAAATAAAGATGATTGTTTCACTCTAAAAGTGTCCCTTTTTCTCTTTCTAGTTTTTTTAAAATATATTTTATTGATTTTTTTTACAGAGAGAAAGGGAGAGAGATAGAGAGCTAGAAACATCGATGAGAGAGAAACATCAACCAGCTGCCTCCTGCACACCCTCTACCAGGGTTGTGCCCACAACCAATGTGCATGCCCTTGCTGAAATCAAACCTGGGACCATTCAATCCGCAGACCAACGTTCTATCCACTGAGCCAAACAGGTTTTGGCTCTTTCTATTTCTTCTTGCTGCCTCTTGGAGTGTGGATGTGGCTGCAGCAGCCTTCAAGCAAAGAAGAGCCAAACAGCTAAGCTAAGAAGCCACTCACCAAGGACCAAAAAGACAGAAAGAGCCCGTGATTACTGGACTGCCTGTCCCTGGAACTCTTCCACATAGAGAAAAAAATAAACTTTTTTTTTTGTTTAGGTTTCTGTAATTTGAGTTTCCTGTTCTAAGCAGTTGAGACAAATCCTAAGTGACATATGGGAAAAGTATCTAGGGCTATATCAGAATGTATTTTCCAAAGAAGTCCACACTATTTCTTGAACTGTTAGATACTGTCTGAATTGAAGTCAGAAATCAAATTGTGATTAGAAAAAAAGACAAGAGACTCCCGGGACATAGAAAGCTCCAGATTTAGTGCTGCAAGAGGCAAATAACTTTTGGAAAGCACCAGAATTCGCCCAGTACAGAGTGTAAATAATAAAGGAGGGGACAAGGCTCTTAAAGCAATTCACAATGTGAAGAGATAAAAGAACAGGAAAAAGTAATAGGGAGAGATTGTAGTTCTCAGAAGAGCTATAAAACATTGTACAATAAATGCTCTGGTAGGAACTCTATACAGAGAGCCCAGTTTATGCAGTTAAAAGAGGTAGTGTGTGCCAAGAAAATGCAAAGAATGCAATAAGCAAATTCTAGAAGCAATAACATATCCATAGACTAGAAAGAGAGGTAATACTACCTGTAGAATAAATACAGGAAGGGGGGAAAAAAATACCACCAAATTTTAACATGAAAGCACTATTGAAGAAAATGTGAATGCATGGGCTTTTAAAGCTGATAGATGTTTTTAACTATTCCTCTCTGTGAAAAATCAATAAAATATAAATTTAAAAAATTTTAGTAATACAAAATAAATAGTAATACAAAATAAATACATAATAAATAGTAATACAAAATAAATTTTAAAAAAATTTTAATGTATCCCTTGCAGAAGAAAGCAATTAACCAACAAATAGTGTACTTACAGGCATAAAGACACTTAACAAATTACATTAAAAGACACACATATCTTCAAGATCAGCAGAGAATGAAATTACTATCAAACTTAACCTTAACTAAGATGGTTGCAAGTTCAGAACCCTGCCACACAGGTCACAGGACAAGAGTATTTGCATCTGGAGGAACAGTACCATAAGAACCAGGGGCTGGCTGCAAAAACATCTATATGTTACCAAAGACCAGCATACGCATTCAGCATTTGGATTCACGTGTGCTATTCAGAGATGACATTCCATTCAGAGTGGCTCTTAACAGTAGTAGCATGCTAATGCTCAGGCCCTCTGAGAATTTATGTGTGAGTGCCTAAGTCCCAAGAGAGACCACAGTTCCATATAGGAAATTCCAATTTAGAACTTAAGGTAGATGACATAATGAGAACATTGGGTCCGAATTTCTACGTATGAGGATTCCTAATGGTAATTCCTAAAAGACATAGTTAATCATGCTTGTTATTTTACAGTAATATTTATTTATTCTTGCCTTGTTCTACCAAGGATTTGAAACAGCATATAATCGGGATGTTGTGTTTGCATTTTCCTAAATAAGCCACATGCAATAAGCATGGGATAGTTCAATCATACCCAAGCTTCTACTTCCCTCTGCCACAGGGAGATGTGTACTCCATACACAGTGGACTTGGAGAGAGACAGGAAGCCATAATAAAAAGAAGAAAAACTTTTTTTTTTAATAATAGCCTTCTAGGCAGTGCACAGCTAAAACGATGTATTTCTCATTTTACTAGACAGTAGGTCCTCAAAAATGTTGTTTTATTCGTCGTTTTGTTATAACATTGATAAAAAAAAAAAGGGGGGGGGGGAGAAAATAGAGTGAAATACCAAGCTATAACAAGGCAGACATCTTACAGAAGAGCAAAGATGGCTGGAGAGACCTAACAGGTAAGCTCTCCCTCACCCCCTTTATTAGAGGTTGGGACCAATAGTTCACATCTGTGACAACCTCTTCATTTATGGCTACCACACAGATAGGAGAAACAACTTTTGAAAAGAAGGAACCACTCCACCAATTGCTCCCATCTCGGGATTTCTTACAACTCTCTCTCACCATGCTTTTATCTATCTGGGAGTCCAGAACACTCCTTCAGCCTTCACACCATCAGGCAAGCTGAGAGTTGTGGCAACTCTACTATACCTTTACCCTCCCTCTTTGAATCTCCTTTTTTTTTTTTTTTTTTTTTTTTGGTACTTTGGATGGAGTAAAAATAATCATCATCTTTGAAATACCTCTGACTTTGTCTTGTCAGTCAATCGCCTTAAGGCACAACTGTCTAAGGAGAGCGAGAAGAATCTTAATTAAGGTTTGGAAATTCAAATGCAGTACACAGTTTTCTAACTCTTTCCCACCAACTACAATAAAACACACTGAGATTTGTGAGATATTCATGTTGCACTTGACCATTTCTATGCTGCCTTCATAACACCCTAATTTATTAGGAGTTGCTTTAAGGAACACGACACTTTTACCTAACACCAGATAGAGGCTCTCCATAGTCCAGTGATGCTCCCTGCACAAGGCAGGACTGAGTGAAACTGGTTTGATTTGTAATCCTGTGCACTTTTGATTTAGTCATGTGGACTCCCAGGTGTCCAGAAAAATAAACTGCTATACCCTGATGGTTTCAGAATACACTTTGCTACGGACTGAATTGTGACTTCCACTCTTCCCCAAATCCACATGTTGAAGCCTTAATCTCCAATGTGACTATATTTGGAGATGGGGCCCATAAGGCAGTAATTAAGGTTAAATGAGGTCATAAAGGTGAGACCCTAAGATGATAGGATTCGTGTTTTTCTAAGTCTTACAGGACACACCAGGAGCCCACTCCCTCTCTCTTTCTGCCATGTAAGGACACAGTACGAAGGTAGAGGTCTTTCACCAGGAATCCAATAAGCCAGTGCTTTGATCTCGGACTTCCCAGTCCCCAGATCTGTGAGATATACGGTAGATTTTGATTGTTGAAGCCACCCCACCTGTGCTATTTTTCTGTGGCATCCTAGCAGAATAAAACACATTGCTAAGATTAACATTAAGGTGAGAGAAAAATCTGGGGAGAAAAAGAACACATAGTGTTTGTTTGCTGCAGTACAATCTAATCTGAATAATAATATAAACTCGAAATACTGGCAAAATAAAAAAAGGACCAGTAGTAAGATTTCTTCTTTAATTTCTCTGAAACAATCTATGCAAGACATGTAAGTAAGCCAGGACAAGTGGAATAGGGAAAACAGACAGTTAAAAGGCCAAGCAGTTTACAACTATCTACTGTTTCCTCAAAAATAAGACATCCTCCAAAAATAAGACCTACTTACAGGTTTCCTTCTGAGTGAAATATAAGGCATCCCCCAAAAATAAGGCCCCCCCTAGGCTCTGTCTCAGAATGCTATTGCTAAACATGAGAGATTTGGTCCACTGATTCTGAAAGAAATGGAGTCACAAGAAATTTACCAGGAAATTCAGGAATTGGATTGTTTTGATGATGTTCCAGAAGATGATGACATGATTGTCACTGAATAAATGAGTAAAGTCTTGATACTGTAGGATTCACAGTTTGTCTGGTTTGTGTTGACAACTACCGTAGATACTACCTTACCATATACAGGTAATAAATTTCCTTTATTTTCATTTAACAATAAATGTGTACTGTATTCTTCTTCATGGAAAAATAAGACATCCCCTGAAAATAAGACCTAGCACATCTTTGGGAGCAAAAATTAATATAAGACACTGTCCTATTTTTGGGAAAACAGGGTAGAAAGTCACAAAACCCTGTCTTCTGTAACCGTGGACATTTAAGAGTAAATGGTTTACACTTCTCCTCCCCTACCAGAGGGAAAATAGCTTAAATCACCCTACTCAGGGAAGATAGATAACAGAAATCCAATTAATACCATTTGTTCCAATTCACCCAATGATGGATCAAGTTAAGGAAATAAATTTCCTTTTGGTATATCAGCATAAAGCTGATGAATATTCTGCTGAGATCTTCCCCTAAGACCGTCCTTAAATTCCCTTTAAAGCCATCAAGATGAAGGACCCAGGGCACATTCTCACTCTTAGGAACACATCCACACCTTTCTTGCCCCCAGGTATTCATCTCCTAAACTCTAAGGCTCCCATGAGACTTGCAACCAGAAGGGCAAATAGGCAGCGGCAGCTCATCCCAGGCTAACCCCCTGAACCTGTCCCCAAGACCCACTTTTCTCTGACTTTGTAGTGAGTGAAAGTAGCCCATCTTACCTCACCTCTTTCTCATAAAATTTCTAGGGAGCCAAAACAGCCCAGCCTAGCTTTCCTGTTACTTCTTCTGTTGTAAGCTCTTCTTTGTTTTATTGTCCTCAGCTTTAATAAATGTATTCTCAAAATAACCTGGACTCATGTTATAAAATCTTTCCTAAACTAAATCAAGAACTCACAAGCTACAAGCCAGCCAGAGGCAGATCTGATGCAAACCCAATTTCTATCTAGTAACAACAGGACCAATTAATATACCTTGAGGTTTGCAGTCGACCCAGCTCAGTTTGTCATTTCAGCTCTACCAGGTTCTTTTATACTATATCAGAAGCTGCCTGCAATTGGGGGTGTGTAGTGGTCAAATGTCCCCCATATTAAGTAGATTTGCTACTAGGTGGTGTGTAACAATGAAAGAAAGTATAAGACCAAATTCTAGTAAACCCACAAGCACTTATTAGCAAGTAGACACAGAAATAAATGAAAGAGCCTGTTCGTGTACACCCAGGGAAATCCACGCTCTCCTCTGGCAAGGGTCTTGCATGGAAGACTCACTCCAAAGTGAACACAATAATATCTGACAGCTGGAGCAGCCAATTCTCAATCAGAATGCTTTGTGAAGTGAGGTGACCAGAACCAAACACCAATTAGAGCTTTGGACATTGTGGGCTGCTTCAAAGGTGCCAGGTTACTGAACTTCATGCAGGGGTCATGGTATGTTCAAAGTCCTTGCAGCCCACATTTATCTTCAATACCATTAATTTCACCAATTAGAAATCATTTCTAGGTATGCTGATTTATGGTATAAATTATGCTACATTATGACATAATAGTTAAAATCATTAGGCTAATTTTTGAATCTTCCTCTGGACGGTAATCTCCTATCTAGAATCATTCTAAAGCTAACCATCTCCAGAGCACAGGTTTATGATTGAGAGGGCAGGGTTGGGCAAGGCTAACTCCTGACTCCATTTTGTACTGTGGAGGAGGGCAGAGCTATCCTCCATTTTGTGTAACTGGACCCTAGCCCTCACCCAACCAATTATAGGGATGATGATGCCAGAGCAGTGACATCATCATCCCTATAAAACCTCTTGACCTGTGGAAGTTTGGCCTCTCTTCCGCCATGCCACTGTCAATGTAAGTGGGACAGAACCCATGCTAGCATGGAAAGGCTCTTTTGTTTATTGCATCAGACTCGGCTCCCTGGTGGTCCTTGGGGATCACAAATCTGGGCATAACACTGATAAGGGGACTTCCAATGCTCTCTAACCACACCAATGGTGCAGATTAAAATTAGTTTACATAGACATACATCCCATTGTTTACACAGAGAATAAAACACATACCAAACTTCAATCTTTCCTCTATGCTGCGGCTTTGAACTTACCACAAATATGGGATCATTGGCTGCAGAATGTGGCAAAGCATTTGTCCCGTTCAGGAAGGAATGAACCAAATTATGAAGACTCATCACTTGGGAGTCCAGGGATCCATCTGCTTTATCAAACCCCTCCAGGGCATTCCTGGGAGGAATAGGTACGTCAGCAATAACAGTCACAAATTGATAAAGGTTTTTCATTTGCCCCAGCCTACTTAATCATCTTCTAATTTGAGATTGGGTAGGGAAATGGGGAGCTCTGCCTGGCTCATTAACTAAGAAATAGCCTTAACCGTTAATGATGATCTCCTCTAAGGGGAGGGAACTCTTATTCAGCACTGGTTCTTCACCTGCTCAGCTGGGTTATAGCTCTTTACTGTCTGTATGACAACTTTTTACCTTCACATCTGTCTCCCAGACCAGACAATGAAGTCCTACAGAGCTTTTTTCTTCCGAGATTAATTAACAGGACTCAGTACTACACCCAGCACATGGTCTGGGATCAGTAAACGTTTTTGAATCAACATATACTCTTATATTCCAATTTCTCAATTAAATAGACCTGCAGCTTGACTTTAGTATATATTCAGTTTTCTAAACCAGCGTTTTTCAACCGCTGTTCCGCGGCAAGATGTTGCCTGGTGTGCTGTAGGTGCAGACAAGACAAGAATTTTATAATTTTTCACTATTTTGTTTACTTAATATTTCATAATAAAGTAATTATAAAATACTTTCTTTGTGTTTATTTGATTCCTATTCAAGAGAATTACTTTATATATAGTCAATATAGGCACAGAGTTAAATTTTTTAACATTTTCTAATGGAGGTGTGCCTCGTGATTTTTTTCATGAAACAAGTGTGCCTTTGCCCAAAAAAGGTTGAAAAACACTGTTCTAAACATATCCACAAATTTCCCTTTCTTTTTTTTTTTAACCTCCCTATTTTCAGTGTCTATATCCAACTCAGTGATCCTCAAATGTAAGCATACAACAGAATCACTGGAGAAAAGCATTTATTTCATGCACACTTTCAGATTCAATAGGTTCAGGTGGGATCCTACCAATTTGTATTTCTAGCCAGTTCCTAGGTGATGCCAATTATGGTTGTCTGGGCACCACACTTTGAGAACCACTCCCTTAAATCTATATGAAATGCAATCTCTGTCTAAAGCATTTGTATCACAATGGAAAACTAATGCATGTTTATTTTCAAAACAATCTTAAAAGTTGCCCTTTACGTCATCTTTGACACTGCCCTGAGGACTGTGCCAGCCCATCACAGACCCTGAGATCTATTGCATTTAGCACAATCTCTGCATTTAAGTTCAGTCTACCCACACCCTGACCTCAAATAACCCATCAGTTACATAATTTATACACAGGAAAGAGAGAAAACCAAGTTTGGGAGAAGAATATGAATCTATCCATCATTTCCTTTTAGAGTCTCATTTATCTTTGTTTAAAATATTACTTATATACAAACGTATTTCTCATAATTCTTAAAATTTGTTTAGAGGGGGAGAATTATTAGCTGATCTTTAAATTTCAGGCAGGGTAATGTCATTGCTGTGTTATAATTTGAGTTACATGAAGCCTGTAATTCCCCCTCTGAGATATCAAACCCCTATTTTAAGTTCTATGGCATACAGATTTTAAAAAACAAAACAGAAAAGTATAAGAAATATCATTAGCAAAATTACTTTGGCAAATATTTTTAAAGTTCTATATTTGATGAGGTTCCCTGGTTCTGAAGACTATGCCTATATGTGTATATAAATTATAAATATTAAAATATTGTTCTAAATAGTTAAATTATTAAAACTGCACTATTAATTATAGTGGGTGGATGATGACTTTTTTAACACTAATTCCTGGTTATCCCCTCTTATCAAGCCCTCTCCATTACTTAGCTTTTTCTCCTAACACCTGGACTCCCTTTCAATTCGTTTCAACCAGACATGAAAACCTAAGTGCTGGACTTCAGAGCACATACCTGAAGCTGAAAGTAGAGTTCTGGAAGAAAGGAGGATTGTCAAACTTCTTGAGAGACAGACAATTTTCTATGTCTTTCAACGATGGCAATTTCTCACCATTTCTTCCCGCTTGATTTCTTCTCAACAAACCTTCATAGGTTCCATTGCACAGGGTGACCCGGCGGTTGTAGTCATCTAAGCTAAGATTTGTATGGGAATTAAAAAGAATATGTCTTAATGTGTCAATAGAATAGTAACTTTGGGCCAATCAAACCAACCAGGGTCATACAATAAAATGTACAGTGGTGCCTCACACAACGAACTTAATTCGTTCCAGGAGCAAGTTTGTTATGCGAAAAGTTCGTTATGTGCCGCGTTCGCTGTGCGAGGCGTTCTTTATGCGAGGCACCACTGTATTACATTTACGGTATCTTAAAGGGCCAAAGATATATGGTAATAGTACTGCCTCCAAAACTAATTATGTATTAAAGACTTTCAAAAACACAGATGCAAAACAATGATATGTGAATAGGTATGCATAATCATTATATTGTACTTACTATTCCACTGGAGAGACTGTAAGAGGGTGTACAGATAAGATGTTGATTCCTATTATGTGAATTTGAATCTTGAGTGACTAAAGAGAGAAGAGGGTGACCAGTACTATACAAGCTAAGCTAGTTGGGCAGAAGGGCCTCTGTACTAGTAAAGCAAGGAAAGCAATTAGGCAAACTGAAGGCAAATGGAGGTGGTCAGAGTAAAAACAAATAAAACAATACAGAGAGGAGGTATTACGGCAAGCACTGTATTAACAAATGCTCAAGTCTAGGGCAGTGGGGATGGTCATGTCATGAACATGGAGGCTGCGAAAGTTCCATGCCCCCAAAAGACTATATCCCCCATGCCTGTAGTGGTCTGACATTCCACCATCAGAATGCCATCCCACTGATAGAAATAAAAATTTAGAGCTGTTTCTGTGTAGGTTTTAATGGATAGTATCAGGGATATGAGAGTAGAATCAGCACACAGGAGGATGAAAGAGGCCAGTTCCCTAAAACCTGGCGAAGTAGGGTGGGGTGAACAAAGCAGGTCTCCAAGGCAGCGTTTCCAAGTGTGTTCCAGGAAGATGGTCTGTGAAATAAGGGTGCCAGGGTCATATATGGGTAGACCCCTCTTGAAGGGTAATAATGCACTTATAGAAGAAAAGCCCTGAGACATTCTGAAACTAAAAAATTTTTTTTCATCAGCATTCCCTAAACTTATAGAAATCTCTCTCACATATCACCTATGAATACCTCAAGGCATTGTAAGAAACAATGCTTTATGAAAGTATGCTAAGTCACGTAAAAAGCACGTGTTAACACCCCCATGTGTGTGGAGCACTGTTCAGAGGGCTGTAGCAAAAGCTTAGGATAGAGTGATGGGATCTTGCAAGCTAGACTTCCACCCCTGAAAGTATGCACATGTCCTGGCTCAAGGTGGGGGTAGGGGGGTGGTTGATATTGAAGCTTTGTGCCCTGGAATGGTCAAAAGATATGGGACGCCAAAACCGGTTTGGCTCAGTGAATAGAGCGTCGGCCTGCGGACTGAAGGGTCCCAGGTTCGATTCTAGCCAAGGGCATGTACCTTGGTTGTGGGCACATCCAATTGCAAGAGGCAGCTGATCAATGATTCTCTCTCATCGATGTTTCTCTCTCTATCCCTCTCTCTTCCTCTCTGTAAAAAAATAATAAAATATATTTAAAAAAAAAAAAAGACACGACAGGGGAGCTAGATCAGCAGGGTTAAAAATGAGATTTTCTAAGAAGCAAATGAATAAAGATAGCCCTCTTGGGAGATTTTTTTCTGAGCTCTCTGCCAGGAAAGAAAAACAAATTCAAGGACTGGCTGAGGACAGACTTCTTCCTGGGCTGTGGGCTGCTTACTTTCTTCTGTGTTTTTTAATAATTAGAGCCTGTCCTCCCCCAATCCTATCCCCCATCCCTCTCAACTCCCAGCACCCTATGGTCCAGCCACACCACACTGCTTCCAAAGACTTTCTAGCTTCATGTATGATATTCCTGCCACCTGGGACACACACTTCACCCTCCTCTACTTGAATGAAATCTGTACCTCCTTAAAAGCCTCAGAATAATCATCTCTACCTCTTAGATTCTTTCCTCTCCTTGGCTTTGCACATACATCTATTATGATATTTCCTACCTTGTATTGTAATTTGTTTACAAGCATTCCACCTTTGTAAATATAAAACAATATTTTTTAAAAGCTATATGTTATTCATCCTTATATTCCCAGCATTATTATGATGCTTAGAATATGATTGGTGCTAAAATAGTTTGTCTCAAAATGATGGCCAAGCACATTCAGCTCACAATGTAACTTTCATGATTAAAAAAAAAAAATCCTCATCCAAAAATTTATGGTTTTGTATTGATTTTAAAGAGGGAGGAATGTAAGGGGTGGAGAGAGGGAGAGAGAGAGAGAGAGACATTGATTGGTTGGTTGCCTCCCTCATGTGCCCCTATCGGGTATTGAATCCACAACCTGGGTATGTAACCCTTCAATGCATGGCCCTAGACTCTAACCAACTAAGCCTCACTGGCCAGGGCCATGCCTCCATATTTTATGAAAGAGTTTAGAATTTTTTAAAATCCCACCTCCTCCAGGAAAGTCATTTGCAGAAATATGTAAATAGAACCCAACATACACTAGAAACAGAAATAAAAAGTGACTTGCCATCTCTCAGACCCATCCAGACCAGAAGTGATTACCTATCACAGACAATTTCCCAGCTGGAGAATCTTGAGTTCTGACTAATCAGTGTTGGATCATCTTGTCTTGCTCCCCCGAGCAGTTGGTCTGTACACACGTCACACTCATTCCTCCCAGTGGCAAAGTTCCAGTAGGGCAACGCAAAGGACTCATTGCCAATAAGTCGCTAAAAGCAAAGGACATGCCTGGTCACTTTATCCATGCCATCAGATAGAACAGGAAAGCATATAATGCAAAGAATGTTATGGGTCTTCACCAAATGTGTAACAGAATGTAAAGAACCAAAAGTATAGTTTTCACCAACCTGGAGATCTCTTTCCAGCCACAACAAATGGTACCGATGCCAGGTGACAAAGGCGGGTCCTTGGTGTGAGAAATCAATGGCCTTGTAGGGGCGGCCTGGCCCTAAAACAATTGGGAAACTAATCAGAGACCACAGAGCAGCATTTTTTTTAAAGTTAAACCTTACCTAGGATGTGTCTGCAAAGCCAATAAGTCCATGGTGTTTTAGTCCAAAGTAATTGTTTTTGTCATTTATCTTTCTGAAAGTAGCAACAAAATAATTTCAGAATCAACTGGCACTTTTAGGGTGAATTCTTCAACTCTCCAAAGTTTGAATGTCAACGGAGACCCAGAGAAATTCAGATGACTTTCAGCTTTAAAAGTCCATGTTACATATTTAATGAAATTCTAGTCTCCAGAGGAATAGGTCATTAAGACCTAAATGAAATATATTTTTAAAAGATATTTTCTAACCCATACAAATGAATACATTTATAAGGGAGGGGTTAATTAAGAATAAAGCATCTTCTAATGCACTCAGTCTAATTCAGTATTTATATAGCCAAAAGGAACTTTCACGGATTTTGCCTTAGCCATCAATCAGTTAGAACTACTGGCTGGCAAGTGTGGTCACCGACACTAGAAGAGAGAAAATATGTTCAAACCAATTTGGCTGGCCGCTGGAAAAGCCAATTTTACTGAAAAGTTGTTGGCCATTTAATGACCTCCCTGCTGCCTGTTCCATCCTTCTTCCCCCTTTCATAACAGCTTTTGATGGTTATGTAGAAACTGTAGCTAACTTTAGTTCTTTTTCAAAGTACCTATAATAACTTCAGAGAGCTGAACAGACATGAATATAAATTTAGTTCCTAGATGCAACCAGAAACTATAGTTTTTCTTTTACTCTTGAGACACTAGCTTCTCATAAAGCAAAAATTCTTCAGAGTCAGGACGGGAAAGCTATAAAGGTTTACAGCCAGAAGAGCCTCCTTATCTATCGATAAAGACAGATGCTTACTTGAGATGCAAGTGTTTTAAAGACACATGGAAGAAAGGACTACAGTTGCTGCTGGTGGTTATGTAGCCCTTTTTAAATATTTTAACCCAGAAAAACTTTAGAGTTCTCAAAACAGAATGATGAAGGAGCATAATATTGTATGTCAACTGTGATGGAGAATCTTGTTTTAATTCAAAAAATTAATTAAAGTTAAAATTAAAAAATGATTAGGAAAAATCAAGTGATGGGGAACCAGTAATACACACGAGGACAGACAATTCCAATTCAAAGTGAGCTTCATGTCCTCATTAACCTCACTCCAGTGAGGGCTCCCAAAGTGGAAATAATAGCAGGTGTAACCAAGGGTTCATAACTGCACTGAGAAGACCCTGGAATGGACTCTGGAACAAACGAGGGTTTACAGCTTTCACCTGAGTCAAAAAGGACTGAGGATGGAGCTGAACTTACTAGATTCATGAAGTTCCTCCCATTCCAAGTCCTACTCAGGCCCCAATTTTTAGGATCCAGAAGGCAAGGCACCATTTTCTTAAGCATCAAACATAACTGTAGTCCAATAACTGAGCCAGAAGGAACACTACATTGCTGTGGCTATGCTGCTTTTTTCTTTTTTTTTTCTTTTTTTTTTTTGACAATGCAACTCTAGAAAAACCCTGGGGATCCCAGCAGGGCATGGGCACCGTAGATGATGACCTGGAAGTCTAAAGACTAATACATGTGAGTTTACTGGTAATGACACGCTTCCAACACACTCTAATTCTGCCCAAAGAAGTGTCATGTGGTTTAGCATGTGTTCAGTTAATTCCTCTAATTTGAAAAAAGGGTCAGAGAGGGCTCCCATGGCCAGATTTAAAAATGTTTTCTTCTGGAATCGAAAGAAGAAATTTGCCTTGCCCTGGTTGATATGGCTCAATTGGTTGAGCATCATCCCATGCACTGACTGGTTTTTGGCTCTATCCCCAGTAGGGGCCATGCAGGAGGTAGCTGGTCAATGTTTCTCTCACATCAATGTTTCTCTCTCCTTACCTCTCTCTAAACTCAATAAAACCATTTTTTAAAGGAATTTGCCTTCAGTTCACCATATCTTGCCTTTGAGAATTAATAGCTTTGTAGACAAGAGTTGGACTTCTAACTCAAAACACAAACTACAGGAGAGAACATTTTCAAATGTCTACAGCTGATGTGCAGGAAGAAACTGCTCCAGCCTAACTTTAGGCAGCAGTTTTGACAGTTCTCTGACTTTTGCACACACCTAGCCCTTCCTTCAGGTTGTGGTGAATTAACTTGTCTGAAATTACTTTCCATCCAACTACCCCAGCCCCAAACACAAACCTATGATAATATACGTTAACCAAAGGGGGGAACCCACCTAATAATGTGTCTCTAACAGAATAATAATGAAGCCACACAAAGAAATCATAAATGCTGCAGTTGGCGATCTGTGGCTGGGTCCCGTTGGGCCCAAGCAGGCCCAGCCAGTGTTGCGTGGTGATCACGTAGTCAGGGTGTGTGGTGTTCTTCGCGAGGTCTAAGGCACCCAAGAACTGCTCCCTCTCCTGAGGGGTCAAAAAATGAATGTTCTTTCGAACAACCGGTGGTTTCTTCTGATCGCAGTTGGGGCCAGTCCAGCCAAACTTGCAGTCTCCACAGTTAAATCCAAAAAAGTTTCCTAGAGTATTTGGGATGGGGGGAGGGGGGAGTGAGGGGGGGATAGAGAGAGACAGAAGAAGTAAGTTTATGTCCTTTGGAAGAAATTTCTGAAGTTAACAGTTGAACTTGGGGGTAGAATGCATGAGAAGATGACAGTACTTGCAAGGGGGAAAAGAAAGCCAATTTCTTTCTCTCACTCTCTTGAAACGTTTGTATCTCAAAGTGAACTGGACACTAGAGAATTCTCTAGAAATATCAAATGTATTACATGCTCTTATGGACTCAACTGTGTCTTCCCCAAACTAATGTATTGCAATCCTAACCCCTAGGATCTCAGGATATGACTGTGTTTGGAGACAGGGTTTTTAAAGAGGTATTAAGTTAAATGAGGTCATTTGGGTGGCCCCTAATCAGGAATGACTCTTGTCCTTATAAGAAGAGGAAAGTTAAAGGCAGACAGTTGCACAGATAGTGAAGACACAGGTAGAATACAGCCAAACCTGCCAACACCTTGATCTTGGACTTCAGGCCTCCAGAACTGTGATAAAATGAGTTTCTGTCAGCTAGTCTGTGGTACTTTGTTATGGTAGCACTAGCAGCCTAAGCACATGTTGTCATCCATACTCTCCTTCCTCTCATGAGTCATGCGGGGTGTCCCTTCCTAGACATCTCCATCTCTCTACCTGAGACTGAGCAGCAGCCTCGGTGTCCACCTGCTGAGCCCTGCTACCCTGTGGCACACACTAAAAGGCTGACAAAGACAATTCACTGATTTAGAGGAGAGAAAACACAAAACTAAGCTAAAGGTGAAACCAAAATATACAAGCTGATTTCCAAGAAGGCAGGTGAAATCTAACGTTAAGAAAGTCGGTTCATTTCACAAAGGAGACAGAGTTAAGGCAAAATCAATGAAGACAGGCAGGTCATAAAGGTGAATTAGCTGCCATGGTATCAAATCACTGCGGGTTCCCTATGTTTGCACAAATGTCTCTGCTCTATCAACCCAGGGAATGAGAACTAGGCAACCAATCGATGTGTCTCTCTCACATCGATGTTTCTCTCTATCTCTTACCATCCCTTCTACTCTCTCTAAAAATCAATAGAAAAATATCCTGAGGTGAGGATGAACAAAAAAAAATTGTACATCAACTATTATTGAAAAATTTTAAAAATTAAAAATTCATTTTATACCATGTCTCAGAGAAAATACTCCAAAGCTCTGCAGATCCTTTTCATTTTTTAGCTTCTAAACCTGGTCTCAAAAATCTCTTAAAATGCTGATGACAACTGAAAAGTGCAACAATTTAAAAACTTAAATGTAGCACCCAAATGTTTATTTCTTTAATTTAGGCTTCCTAGTAGTTCCTTACATCAATTTAACATGTTATTTTTTTCCCCTTAATCTACCACAGCAACAGCAAAAAAAAAAAAAAAAAAAAAAAAAAAAAAAAAAAAAAAAAAAAAAAAAAAAAATAGAGGGCCCTTTTAGAAATGAAGAGAGAAAATAAAAATAAAGGATCCCTAGATACCAATCTATCTATTACTGAGTATGTCCTTGAGCAAAAAATAAATTTAAGAAGACAAAGGCCAATATCTACTAGGACTGGGATAAAATGGGAAGAGACTAAGGGCAACCAAACAATGCACGTTCCTACAAGAACTCCAACAGCTCCACCTCAGAAAGCTATTAGACTAAATAAGCTTAAAGACCACCGATTAGTGGATTTATAAGGAGCTCTAAATAGCCTATTCCTTTTAATTAGAGATTCTATTATTTTAATAACAATACTTTATACTCACATAGGGCCTTTCATCTACAGAGCTCAAAAGGATTTTACAGGTGTGGTTTCATCATTATCCCCATTTTAGAGATTGGAAAATGGGGGCACTTAGTCACTTGTACCAACAAGAAATTCTCAGACAACTATTCAAAAACTATTTGGTGTGCATGTTTTTCAAAAGTCTAAAGACACAGCTGCAACTGTCTCAGAAATGCCATCTGGCAGGTATGACTTATAAAGTGAATGGCTAAGTCTCCTGAAATTCAGCTCTTTCTAGCAATTAAGTTCAATAATGTTTGTTTTCAATTTATCCCCACAGAGAATAGAGAAATTAGAAATTCTTTCTAGAGAATTTGAGCACATAATTTAGAGTCTTCCATCCCACCACATCCCCAGAGTTTGCATTTATTTTAATTAAATTGGCTAAAATGTTTTACCAACTTCAAAATCATAGAAACTATGGTGTGTTAATTTTTATTTTCATTTTTATTTTTGTGTGATAAAAACACTTACATTTTTAAGTGTACAATACATTATTGTAGGTACAAAGCTATACGGAACTGTCGAAGTTATTTTGCTCAATCTGATTAATTTAAATAACTCATGTAAGTGGAATCATGCAGTTTTTGTCTTTCTGTGACTGATTTATTTCTTTAGCAAAATATCCTCCAGGTTCATCCATTGCTTACATATTACAGAATTTTCTTCCTTTTTTGGCTGAATAGTATTCAATTGCACATATATATACCACTTGGCTAGGATGTAGAGAAGTTGGAAACCTTGTGCACTATTGGTGGGAATGCAAAATGGGGTAACTGCTTATAGATAACAGTATGAATGTACTTCAAAACTTAAAAATAGAACTATTATATGATCCAGCAATCCCACTTTGGGGTATTTATCCAAAGGAATTGAAATTGAATTCTTAAAGAGATATTAATTCATTCACAACAGCTAAGATGTAGAAACAACCTAAATGTCCAGCAATAGATGAATGGTGTGCTTATTTTTCCACAGATTTAACAAAGTTCAAGGTCATCAGTAGTCTATTGTCCAGAAGCTAATCTATACTTTTTTTTTTAATCCTCATCTGAGGATATTTTTCTATTTATTTTTAGAGAGAGTGGAAAAGAAAAGGAAACAGAGCCGAAACTGTTTGGCTCTTGGCTCAATTGATAGAGTGTCAGCCTGCAGACTGAAAGGTCCAAGGTTCGATTCTAGTAATGGCTTACCCGCCTTTACTCAATTCTAGTCAAAGGCATGTATGTTGGTTGCAGGCACATCCCCAGAAGGGGGTGTGCAAGAGGCAGCTGATCGATGATTCTCTCTCATTGATGTTTCTAACTCTCTATCCCTCTCTCTTCCTCTCTGTAAAAAATCAATATATTTAAAAAAAAAAAAAAAAAAAAAAAAAGGAAACACAGAAATACTGATGTGAGAGAAACACATCAATTGCTTGCCTCTTACATGAACCCCGACCAGGGCCCCAGATGGACACCTGAGGTATTTACCCCTAACTGGAATGGATTCTGGGACCCTTCAGTCCATAGGCCAACACTCTATCCACTGAGCCAAACCGGCTAAGGCTATACATCTTTAAATTTTGGGTGACCCCAGGTGAATCCCAGAGTCCTATTTGCAAAGTAATTATGAGGCTACCAGAGAAGAGGGCTTTGGAGCACTCAAGAATAGTTTTAAATTGTTAAGACTGTCTCCTAAACCATGAAAAAGCTACCCTAGGAAGGCAAGCAACTCACTCTTTGGGGAGAATACACAGAAAGACATGTGTCTTGCTTTGGGACATAAGACACATCACAGTGATTACTGTGTCTACTAAATAACTTCCCAGATCAGTCACTAAGGACTTAGTCTGGTGCCCTGAGACCCAAAGAAAAAGACCATCTAGCCAATGCACAGGAGCCATCCAAAGTGGGGATGGAAAGAACTATGGTCCTGTATGAGCTTGGGTAAATCAACTCATGGAAGAGGCGGGTAAGCCATAACCTGGTAGTGGGTCTCAGAAGCAGCCATGACAGTGACAATGGCTAGAATTGGAGATCATACACCATATACCTTGAGGAAACCCTGCTTTCTCTGACTGGCTTATGGACATGAGAGGTCCTTATAGTCTGGACTTACAGGACAGGCCTTGTTTCTGGCTCTTTCTCATAGGTATGTTTATCCTCCTCAGAGCAGGGGTTCCCTTTTAGGCTTTGAATGTAGATCACCCTAACCTCAAGTTTCTGACACTTCTAGAGAATTGCCTCAGGAATGATAAATTGCAATTATCCCTTCTATTCTGCCACTCTATGTTCTTCCCATCCCCATTGTTAAAACACACAAACACACACACACACACACACACAACAACAACAACAACAACAACTTGTTACGCAGGTCAAAAAGATAAAGTAAAAGATGATAAGAAGAATGGACATTTATATCTGATTTCTTAATACCTCTGTCTCAGAGATTTCCAACTTGTGTACTTGCGGAACTCTAACATTAATTGACTTGCAAATAGTATTCTGGAAGAAATTTTGATTCAGTCCATACAAAGAAATTACTGTGTGGTGTGGTTTCCAATCACCCAAGTAATATGAAACCTGCTGTTTCTCATTAGACTGCAAAGCCATGAGAATCCATGAGATAATGTCTATAGAAGCAAACACTCAATTGGTTTAGAAAAATGGATGGTAATATTCAATTTGCTATTAAAAACTTTAGGCCACAATTAATACTCAAGGCAAAATTAATAATTTTTTGAGTCATAGAATTAACAATATGACTACAAAATGATTATAAAGCCAGAGTTATTTTTAAAGTTTAAAAATACCAACATCATTCCTACTTTAATATCACAATCCTTTGTACATTCTCTTAGTTTACTTTTAATAACCTTACATAGTTCAATTATCTATATTTTTCAGGGTTTTGGTGAAATATAACAAAACATAATTTCAAAAGGAAAACCCCTTATGCAGCTCACACTGCAGGACAGTGTCGAAGAACTTTGCTCAAGTTGCGCTTATGTTTTCTGTGTTTCAAATGGCCTATCTGCCTTTGAGAGTTTGTCACGGTTGTCACAGCTGCTGAGCATGGAGGGAGCCCAGTGAAGAGGACCTGAGAAGGCTCAGAAGAGCCAGAGGCATAAGAAGTGCACAGAGATTAAAAAGAAACAGGTCATAAAAGAGAACAAGGCCAAAAAGAGGGACACTGCACAACTCTGAAATGCCCACATCGAACCCAGAAAAGAGAGAGAAAAGCCATTGCTCTCTGATAACCATCCTCCCTTCCCAGAACAGAGGCAGCTTGGGCCTGCCACATCTCTCCAGCTTTGGCTAAGTTACTACACACCAAGGCATAATGTCCCCCTGAGTGAGACCTGTCAAAATCATTCGAAACTCAGACACGAAGATGACAGAACACCTGCCTTCCACACCCACCCTCCAGATGCCAACCTCACCCACCCCTCTCTTCAACAAGTGCCAACCTATTTCGGGAGAAGCATTGAATCCATCGTGAAAGGACTTGCTCTGGCTTTCAAAGCTGACTCCTGAGCCCTGTAGCTCCCAACAGACAAGCCAGTGGTATGTTGGCATGAGTTCATATAGCCAGGCTTGGCTCATGTAATATTTATTTAGATTCCATAACTACATGTACCAGAGGACGTGAAGAATATAAGCAAGGCATTATCCTTCCTCAATTTGCTCCCCATGAGAAACAAACTTGGATTGCCTTTCAAAGCCTGGTCTAGCAGGCTCTTAGATGGGGCTCCTTTCCCAACGGGCCCTCCCCACCTAGTTAGGGGCAGGCCAGGTCTCCCCCAGGCGGTCTGCCTCACCTGTGCAGTTGCAGGTCCGGTTGAAGAACTTCCGTGGCCACCGTTCTCGGTCATCCTGGTTTCTCAGGACATAAGGACCACTCCAGGGCCTGGTGTCGACTTGCACCTCCGTGCACTGGCCCCGGCCCTCTTGAGAGCCACAGATGTTGGCCGGCTCCTCACCCAGGGGCGGGCAGCACTCCTTGGCCATCAGGCTGTCCACCGTCATGCAGACCCGGGGGAACTGCGCCCAGGCTCCAGGCAGCATTCCGTAGCCCAGCCAACTGAGCAGAAGCCCACACCAAAGAGAGCGCATGGCTTTATAATCCGAGAACTTTCTCCTCCTATATACTGCTTTCTTCTTGTCTTCCACTTGAGCTCTTTAGTATTCACTCAGGTTTTTTTTTTGTTTGTTTGTTTTGTTTTGTTTGTTTGTTTTGTTTTTGTATATTTTTGTTTTGCGGTCTGTTCCGCTCCTCTTTAAAAAATACCCACAAAATCACAGAACCCATGCATGTGCACGTGTATACATGCACACACACAGGCTATTTTATGGGATCCAAACAACTCAAACAAATTTAATTTTATAGAAGCGCCTCTAACAGCCAGATTTAATGAGGGGAACCCTTCTCACCGTCTTCCCCGTTAAGTCAGGCTTTGTCTAATTGAGTTAATTTGCAGAGCACTCCAGTCATACTGCTTATTATGCTGGTATTTTTTTAAAACTCCTCCTTTACTCGTTAGCCCATGACTTTAATTGCCTTGAACTCAGTTCAAAAGCCAAACACCGGGCTGCCTTTATTCCGTCTGGATTGCCAGCCACCGGGCCTCGTGGGGTTTGTGGAAGGGCTGGGAGAAGCCATCATTAGGGGGATTAGTGTTAGAGAAAGCCTCATGGTTAGCACATGACCCAAAGCGCACAATGAAGTAGATAAAGTTTCTGGCTCTGTTTCAAGAGGGTAAAACCATCTTCATTATCTGGGCTCATGTGCTCCAGCCAAGCTTGTGACCTCAGACTTCCCAGGGAGTCAATAGATGCAGTGAGCTCACTGTCAAAGGCCCTTTACAGACAAGCGTGCGTTGCTAACTACATTCACTCCTGACTGCTCCCTGACGTGCTAGGAAGACCGCTCCAGGAGGTCACACAGCTTCAGACATAAAGAAACATTTATTTAGGGATGGCATACAAGGAATTGCTTTGTTCCGCAATTAGGGACCCTCTTCCAAATAATAAGGTACTTGTCTCCTATTCAGTACATCCAGCCTGCAGATTTTTTTCTTAATTACATGAAGTATCAGCCACAAGAAATTCAAAATTGTCATTATCTAATTGTAAGGAAGGGCTTGCCAGTGACATCCTTTGATTTATGCAAAGTTAAGCATTGTTGACCTAGAAGGCAATGCCTCCCCTAGTACTTCTGGGGCACCGTGGGGGGGGGGGGGGGGAGATCCAGATTCATCAGAGCATCCATTCACTTCTTCACAGTGAAAACAGGACTGTCTTAGTTCCAAAAGGGTCCATACAGACTGATGATGGCTCAAACAGTTCCTAAGAATACTTTATATTAGGGCACAAAATTTCAGAATGTTATTTCCAGAGCAATTTCTTAAGGTTAAAAAATTTTCTATAACTGTTCCCATCCCATGTACTTCTATGTCACCCCATGATATTAAGTTGTTGTGAATAATTAAATGACAGTTTTCAAACCTGACTATACCCCAAAGCCAGCTTGTACCCCAAGCCCAATGAAGCAGAATCTCTGTCATAAGTTCTCTAGGCCATTCCAGTGTGCACTCAGAGTTAAGACTCACTGGGTCAGAATAAGACACAGCTCCAAGGGAAATGTTGAAATAGAGTCAGCTAAAAGATTCCGTACCGGTACGTTAGGTTCCCTTGGCTGCCCGAACAGAGTACAGTCTGGGTAGCTTAAAATAACTTAAATATATTCTCTCACAGTTCTGAGGACCAGAAATTCAAAACCGATGTGTTTGTGGGACTGTGCTCTTTCTAAAGCTCTTGAGGGGCATCTGTCTTGCCTCTTCTAGCTTCTGGGGGCTGCCACCATTCCTCAGCATCACATGGCCACATGGCCTCCTCTCTTCTGTCTGTGTCTCTCCTCTCAGTGACTCTTATAAAAATACTTGTCATTGGCTTTAAGACGCAGTTGGATCATCCAGGGTGATCTCATCTTGAAATCTTACATCCACAAAGACACTTTATAATTTAAGTTCCCATTCACAGTTTCTGAGGCATGTAATGGCTTCTTGGAGACTCTATTCAACACACTATGTCATGGAGATAAAGCTTGAATAATACTTGAATTTCAGTATCTCAGATTTGGAAGGATATTTTGGAGCCCATTCAACCCATGTGTATTTATTGATCCTGTTTATGCCAATCTTGTCGCACTTTGGGATTTCACTTATGTTTTGTGATGCCCTGGTTCCATAAATATTAGATTCAAAGTTTGTGAATACTGACATTGATGGAGTCAATGACTCTTATGTCAGAACTAAAGGTCCAGTATACAGGGGGTGTGGGGAGTGGGAGGGAGTGTCCCTCAGCCCAGCCTGCACCCTCTCCAATATTGGACCCCTTGAGGGATGTCCGACTGCCTGTTTAGGCCAGATTGGGACTAACCCAGGACTGCTGACTCCCAACTGCTCACCTGCCTGCCTTCCTGATTGCCTCTAACCACTTCTGCTTGCCAGCCTTATCACCTCTTAACCACTCCCCTGCCAGCCTGAATGTCCCTAACTGCCATCCCCTGCAGACCTGGTCACCCCTAATTGCCCTCCATTGCAGGCCCCAACTGCTCTCCCCTGTAAGCCTGGGTCCCCCCTCCAACTACCCTTCCCTGCAGGCCTGGTTGCCCCCAACTTTCCTCCTCTGCCAGCCTGATCACCCCTAACTGACCTTCCCTGCAAGCTTGATAACCCCCAACTGCCCTTCCTTGCAGGCCTGACCCCTCCCAACTGCCCTCGCCTGCTGGCAATCTTGTGGTGGCCATCTTGTGTCCACATGAGGCAGCCATCTTTGACCACATGGAGGCAGCTATCTTGTGTGTTGGAGTGATGCTCAATTTGCATATTACTCTTTTATTAGATAGGATGCTCCCAGATCTAGGTCATGGAATCTCATTTCTTTCATAACAGCACTTGCTAACTAATTCCCCTGGTCTGTGGCTTTAAATGCAGGCTATCATGACTCCCCAAATTACATCTCTAGCCCCTACCTCTGCTGTGAGCTCCAGATTCATATACCTAACTTCCTCCTTGACCTCTCATTTGGAGATCTAGAAAGTTCTCACTTAACATATTTAAAGCAGAACTTTTGCTTTCTCTTCCCAGATTTGTTTCTCCATAAGTTTCTCCACCTTAGTAAAGAATGTCCCCACAGTCCTGTAATTGGTCCTTGATTCTTCTCTTTTTCACCTCCCCTGGCACTTGGAGTAAAATCTAAGGTCCTTTCCACGCACTACTCAAAGTGTGGTTCACAGATCCACAGACATGTGTTCCTGGTCTGCAATAAGGTATCTTATATAATAAAAGCCTAATATGCTGTGTCTGGTCATCCAGTTGGCTGTTCAACCAATCAAAGCATAATATGCTGGACTGGCTTTAGCTCAGCAGTTCCTTCGACTACAAAGCATAATATGCTAATGATATGCTAAGGCCACTCAACTGCTCACATGACATGCACTGACCACCAGGGAGCAGACAGTTGACTGGTTGACCAGTCACTATGTGTTCACTGACCACCAGGGGGAAGATGCTCTGACCGATAGGTTAGCTTGCTGCTGGGGTCTGGCCTATCAGGATTGAGCGAGATGGGCTCTCCCATAGTCCCTTCCCAACTAGCCAACCCCCCACTTCCCTCCCCAGCCCTGATCATGCACCAATGGGGTCCCTCAGCCTGGCCTGCACCCTCTAGCAATCTGGGACTTCAGATGATGTCAGAGAGCCGATTTCGGCCTGATAGTAGAACAACAAGTTGCTATGACATGCACTGACTACCAGGGGGCAGACACTCAATGCAGAAGCTGCCCCCTGGTAGTCAGTGCACTCCCACAGGGGGAGCACTGCTCAACCAGAAGCTGGACTCATGGCTGGCAAGTACAGCAGCGGTGGTGGAAGCCTCTCCATGGCAGCACTAAGGATGTCCAACTGATGACTTAGGTCAGCTCTCTCTAGGAGGGACACCCCTCAAGGGATCCTGGACTGTGAGAGGGCTGAGGAACCCCACCTCCCAGTGCATGAATTTTCAGCACTGGGCCTCTAGGATACAATAAGGAGAGAAATTAAAAGTCAACATTTAGAAACTGTCATAACAATTTGACATTGACACAATGTCAAGCACATGATCTGTGGACTCATTGCTTTGAAGATAGGGTACATTTGGGGTTGGGAGGTGTCCAACTTGTATGGTGATGATCTTGTAGCACATGCTGCAAACAAACTATGTTGGATCACATGTTGATCTGTGGCTGAATTTTTTTTTAAAGCTCCTTACCATAGATAGTTTGATAACTGGTGTGTAAGACCCTCTGTAATCTATCCCTCACCCACAGTGTTCTACCTCTTGTTCTGCAGTAGCAGAGCACAGTAACCACTCTGTTATTCAAACATGTGTTCATTTCTTTCTTTCTTTCTTTTTAAATTGATTTCAGAGAGAAGGGAGAGGGAACAATACCATGTTTCCCCGAAAATAAGACATCCTCCGAAAATAAGACCTACTTATAGGTTTCCTTCTGAGTGAAATATAAGGCATCCCCCCGAAAATAAGGCCCCCCTAGGCTCTGTCTCAGAATGCTATTGCTAAACATGAGAGATTTGGTCCACTGATTCTGAAAGAAATGGAGTCACAAGAAATTCACCAGGAAATTCAGGAATTGGATTGTTATGATGATGTTCCAGAAGATGATGACATGATTGTCACTGAATAAATGAGTAAATTCTTGATACTGTAGGATTCACAGTTTGTCTGGTTTGTGTTGACAACTACCATACTACCGTATACAGGTAATAAATTTCCTTTATTTTCATTTAACAATAAATGTGTACCATATTCTTCTTCATGGAAAAATAAGACATCCCCTGAAAATAAGACCTAGCACATTTTTGGGAGCAAAAATTAATATAAGACACTGTCTTATTTTTTGGGAAACAAGGTAGAAACATCAACGATGAGTAAGAATAATTGATTGGCTGCCTCTTGCATGCCCCACACTGAGCCCAAACCAGGGCATCTACCCTTGACCAAAATCAAACACAAAACCCTTCAGTCTGCAGAGTGACACTCTATCCACAACCAAACCAGCTAGGGCAAACATGTGTTCATTTCCACCCTGGCCTTTGTACTGCCCTTTCCTCTGCCTGGAGCATTCATGCTCAGAATCCTCCTTGTCACTCAGGTTTCAACTCATACATTAACTCCTAAGAGACCACTCCTTTTACTGCGTCTACACAGTCACCTACTCTCTACTATATTGCATTATTTGTTTTTCATAGCATGTACTACTAATTAAAATTATCTTATTTATTGATTTAGTTGTTGATTGTCTGTCTTCTTTACTCAGGTTCTTCCAAGAGACCAAGAAACCTAACCATTTCCTATTTCCAGTGTCAAGAACAGTACTGGCAAAGAGTGTCTACTTGATAATAATTGATGAGTAAATATTTACAATTCTAAATTTTTAATTTCATCAGCAAAACCTCACCATTACAGAAATTGGTTTCATACAAACTAAATGTTATTAATTTTACTATATAGAAAAATGTAGACTAATAAACACATGTTGGTCTCTAT